TCGTGAAAATGTGGACTGCGACAGTAAATGTAAAATGAGGGTTTACTGGATAAGGACCGAAGTTTTGCCTTGGAACAACCACCTACGAACACGGAACGAGTTGTTACAGGTTCCTTAATGTGCAGAGAGCGTGGAGAGCGTGGCACTCTCTTTACATGAGGCATCGGGATAAACGTTACCTTCTGACCCGACGTGGCTGCGTACTTGTACATCCCGCACAGTCAAACGGACGCCCAAATTTAGAAAGGGTGGTAATGGCAGTCGGAAGAACCCTTAAATGAGCATATTTCTACACCCCTTTCCCCCATTCCTTTGGGGAACCCTTTTTATTTGTATTATTATACTAATTCACACGCTAGATTGACAGCATAATCATACAATGAACACTGCCCTTTCCTGGATCTTGATATCTATATCTTAAACGGGAAGCTTAATATCAAAATTTATGATAAAAGAGATGATTTTTCATTTCCTATTGTTAATTATCCATTTTTAGATGGTGACGTTCCCTTGTCACCATCATATATATGGTGTTTATATATCTCAACTTGTTCGATTCGCTCGTGTATGTAACAACGTATTTGATTTTAACGAAAGAAATCTCTGTATCACTGAAAAATTATTACACCAGGGTTTTAGATATCACAAACTAGTCAAAACATTTACCAAAATTTATCATCAGTACAAGGACATCATTCGTAAATATAAATCAACATGCAGCTAGACATCTTATACGTTTAGGTATTTCACATCCAATATTTTATGGTAATATTCTTTACAAAGCACAAAAATGTCGGCATTCACCTCAAAAGCTAACTAAACCTTTAAACAGACTTATTAGGAAAGGATATATTTACAATACTGTTGTCAAGTCATTAAGGATTGCATATTTTGGTATTAATATTGATTCACTCATATGTCTTTGCATCGGAAATAAACATATTTATTCTAAAACCAGTTGTTGGTATGATACGGGTTATGTTCTTCTCATATATTTTATGATAGTATGATACTAAACCCCTAACTAGAGGGATTGTACTTGATTTTCATATGATGAAGACATAATCTTTCAATCAGTTTAATTGAGGTCTGGAGCTGGCATGTCAGTAACTGCTAGTAGTCTCTTGTTCATTTATGTATCATTGTCATTTTGCTTGGTTTCTTTTGTTACTTATTCTGACATCGGACTAAGACTACTTTTGAACTGAGTTTTACTGTGCGTATTACTATGTGTTCCTTTATTGGCTAGAGGTATAGGGGGAGGGTTGAGATCTCACAAAACCTGTTTAACCCACCGCATTTTTGCGCCTGTCCCAAGTCAGGAGCCTCTGGCCTTTATTAGTCTTGTATGTTTTTTAATTTTAGTTCATTTATATGTTTTGGAGTTTAGTGTGACATCCATATTCACTGAACTAGTACATAATTTTATTTAGGGGCCAGCTGAGGACCACCTCCGGGTGCGGGATTTTCTCGCTGCGTTGAAGACCCATTGGTGGACTTCGGCTGTTGTCTGCTCTTTGGTCGGGTTGTTGTCTCTTTGACATATTCCCAATTTCCATTCTCAATTTCATACACATCAAAACCGTATGAAAAGACTAATGAGGATCAAGCTAATTGTTGCAAATGGAGTTCAATTTAGTCGGGTTATGATGGTCTACTAATAGAGGATAATGGCAAAAAAAACATAATGAATGTAGAAAACTGCCCTAAAAGTTCAAAGAATACAGAAATGAAGGACCCCTATCCAGATCCTCCTATATCTCACTAAATCACAGCTTCGTTTTTCAATACTTATTGAGAAACGTCGCAATGTCAGATCTGTGATTTTTAAAAAGGATTGGAAGAGGGGCAGTCCAAAATAGAAAAAAAAAATACCAAGCAAAAAACCCAAAAATTTCGAAAAATGGGATGGTACATTTGGATTCTCGATCAAGCTCTATGTCGCTTCGAAAATGTCTTCCTGAAGATAAAATCGTCTCCATTTTTTGTTTAATTTGACATTGCTTTGATTTTGTTTTAAATTGCTTATACAAAGTAAGGATTGTACAAATTATTGTAATAAAATAAAGAAGTGAAAATAAAGTACAATTTGATAGTAAACCTGTTTAGTAAAAAAATTGAAATAATTGTAAATGGAACAGCAACATAACAATACAAAACAGCAGAAGAATTTCAGGCTAAGATTAATTCAACATATGGCCGATCTTCATTAATAAAATGTCCTTCCCAGATAAGCCATATATTAAAGCCAATTTGCTTCGATCTTCAGTTTTGTAGGTGAGCGTAAATAAGACAGTGAACAAGGAGTGAGAATATGAAAGCTAGCAGTGAAATGGAATAACACATATTGAAGAAGGTTTGGTAAAGCCCTTTAATTGACTTAATTTGATTGTAAAAACGATAAGGCAAATGCCAAAATTAATGTCTAATGGTATGACCTTTTCAACTTTCACCTTGATATAATTCCCATGTCAACAATCCTTTATGTGGTGTTGATGGAAGATCTTTGATAGTTTTTTCAATTGTTTTAGACTCTGAACGATTCTAAGTTTGACAAACAGTACGACACTTTCCTATAACTCTATCATTGAATACTATGCTGCTTTCTATATGCCGTTTTGATGGTAATTTTTTAGTGATGTTTGGTTGTTGTCTCGTTGGCGTTTACTCCATATCTTCTTTGAATCATATTACAATAACATTTTGGTACATTCAACAAAGTTTACTCTAACGCTCTACATGCTACTCAAACAAGAACACCTATTCATAAATTGAAGAAAACAATTTTCAGCACTGTTGCGTTATTTTTATTGGTGGATGGAGCCAGAGTGCGAGAGGAGAACCACCGACCTTTGGTAGGAAAACTGATAATGCTAGTGAATTAAGATTGAACTCACCTGCCATATGCTGGATTCGAACTCACAACCTCAGAGTTGACAGGCTATTGATACTATTTTACAGATATTTTTATAATGGATATGCGATGCTAATGCTAAATTTTTGCGGAGTGTTGAATTTGTTTATTTCGCGAAAAAAATAGAATCGTAAAAATATCCGTCGCGTAAACTTAGTTTTTAAAGATAATTGCAGTCAAAGGGAAATTGAAGTCGAAGAAGATTCAAAAATAAAACTCATCGAATTTTTTTGCTTGACAGTATGCATATAATTAAAATTGAAACATGTGTCAAAGAGACAACAACCCGACCAAAGAGCATAAAACAGACGAAGGCTACCAATGGGTCTGCAATACAGCGAAAAAATCCCACACCCGGAGGCGTGCTTCTGCTGGTTAACATGTTTATACACACGTACATAAAAAATGAACTTGTCTTCAAAATTCATGACAAACAGTTTTGAGAATTTGCTGTTAAAACACAGGGCAGATGAAAGATGAATCGATCTATGACTTTTGTCCGGTAAGTTATCGAAAGTTGCTCAATAGACGAGAGCCGATGCGTATTTCCTGAAAATTTATTTTTGAAGAAAATGTTTCCCTGTCCCTTGTCTATTCAAGGGTTCCGTCTAACATTATCCAATGAAGATAATTATCACTTGTGACTGCTATCCGCTTTTTTACTTTATCGTACAGAATACTCGAACATAAAAGATATCTTGAATCAGGATATAATATGATTTATGATCATTTGCATTTAGCTACTTAAGTAAACACGTACACTCATTTTTGCTTATTATTTGAAGTTTACTTGTCGATTTGTTTTTCATACAATTAAAAATTTGTGTTTGATGTTTTATATGAAATCAGTTGTTATAATCTTTTTTCTATAATTCTTTCTCGATTTATCCTTTACCCAACCTGTTGATTATTTTTATCACTATTTAATCAATGTGAAGTTTGTTTGATCTCTGTTCTTTATTGGTCAAAACTTGATTATGATGTCAAACTTTCTTGCTTTTCTTCTGAACTTCATATTGTGACGGCATGAAAAACCAATCAAATTTTGATGCAAGCTTCAGTAACCATGTAACCTCAAGTTTCCAAAATATTACATAGAAACACCATATTAAAAAAATATTGGTGCTTTAAAATACACAGGATATATGTTTATGACCCAGAATTTTTTATTACTGCAATGTAATATAGGGAAAAATTACCTACAACTTTCAAATTCAAGGGAATATTTTTTACGACCCCTTTTCGTATGCAACCGGATGTGACGTACTATGAGTTGGTGGTATAACACATTAAGGAGTAATCTTTTAGTAGTATGTTGGTTCATTGCACCGTGGTAGTTTTGGAAGTAATCTAAAGGTTTGTTAAATATCAGTACACTTTAATTGCTGAGAAATATATTAGTTGGGGAATGATAGTTTTGGATTGATATTTTTTAAACAAAGTATTTTCTATTTTTGCCTCTGTATTTCGAATTCAAAACATAGTATAATGTCGTTTTTTTTTTATATCAGCATATTTTGAATGACCAGTATAGAATATCTATGTTATAAATAACAATTTCTTTTTTTAGTTTGAGAAATCACGGAATGCGACGTATAACCAATTGAAATGTGATTTATGACCGCAGTTGTACTTGTCGAAACTTCATGACCGGTGTAACCATACAAGGATACCTGAACTGCTTAGTATTCCAAAAAGCCTTAGTACAGCTGGAACTCTTCTCTTGTTTTGTTTTAAAAGGTTTTGGATTTTAATATGTACTTTTATATTGATTTTGTTCCGTAAACACATGCTTATCTTTTTTCGGATGGCCATTATTTTCTCTTCTTGACATGAATAATAGAACGACTCGCTAACAGTTTACAAAAGGTGGATGAAAAAAATACTGATTTTAATATATGCATATAAGGTTTAAAGAAATTGCCCGAACTATACCAATTGTATGTTATGCATGAGGCGAGAACAACGTAGTTCAATGCTTTCCAACTGAGATCTATTGATTGGCTTCAGTATCACTGTGGAGACTACAACTGTCGGACTGTGCATCATCATATGTGTCAATGGATACTATCGATGCAGTCAAAGATAAAAGTAAAGATATTTTATTGGTATCAAATTCAAAATTACAGGATTGTTATAATATTTGACAATAATTAAAAATTAGCGAAACATAAACATACAAATACATATCTAAAATGTTTAATTATATCCATTGATAAAAAATCCTCAAAAATAATACATGTTTCAATTTAAGACAGTCCTTTTACAGGATGTAGATGAAATCATCATGATAAAGGTCTTAATAGGAAAAAGAAGTTTTTTTATTCGTATCATAAATCCTTTCATTCATTTTACAAATAGCAGATGAACAGCGCTGTTATTGTTGTTCTTTATATCAAATTATATTAATTAAGGCTTACAAATATACCTTACCAATTCAGTAGCAAAGTGGAAATTGAAAATAAATTTTGTCGTATTTCGATACGTTATTAATGGTCATTGTTTTGGTGTTTGGCTAGCTGGCATAATCAAGATTTATAAAGTTGTTATTTTTGGTTATCCTAAAGAAATTACAGACTTTAAATATCATAAGGGTGGAATATTTAACTAATACAAAATAAAAATATCTATATATGTACCAAAATAATACAAATTGTTAGATGCATATCATATGAAAACCTCAACACCAGGCAATACTTATATATTCAAAGTAACAAACGATCGACTAACATTTAATTTTGTACGATTACTGCTGTGAATATATTACATAATTATATAGGAATATTGGATTAGTTATAAATATCACTGAAATTGATAAGTACTGGAAGCACATCACAACTTAAACAACAGAAATAAATCAACGCACAAATTCAAGGTACTTTTATATGATGTACTTCAAGTATCTACTCGGGACATTTCTGTTCAGCTGTAGGTGTATAAATGATAATGAAGTTTTTAAAGTACTGTTGAAAAGAGGCAGACGATACCAGAGGAGAATCAAACTCAAGTTGAGAATGACATCAATGACAATACATCGTTATCAAATCAGAATTATAAACATGCAAAACAATAAGAAAAACAAACAAATAACGAATTTGTATTGCTATCAATTAAAAAATGAGTTTGAAGGAAATAATGATTAAGGGCATAAAAGTTTTAAAAAGTAACCCAGCATTACAAAATTTTAGCCAATATAATTGGTGCTAAATATATTTTACAATGAAATAAAGTATGTTGATAGTCATAGAGAAGCACAATATATATATATATATATATGTTTAATTAAGTTTTACAAAATTGTCCAGTTGGAAACAATAGGGTAAAAAATGTTCTAGAAATTTCAGGTACAAGCATTATCACAAAATATGAACATAAAACCTCTAAGTATACTGTCCGCAGGTAGAAACTGAACACATGCTCTCGTTCGACCTTTTTTTTTAAGTGGCTCTCGGTTACGTATGTCCTTATTTCAATTCATTTAATATGTCAGTTCCATTTCTTATAAATAACTATGGTATCCTCTTATTCTTTCTTTCTAACAACAGAGGTGATTTTATCCTATCATTGGACAGATAAACAGCTCATCCATATCTCTCAGATAATTGTACTACCATCTGACGCCCTCGTCGACAAGTATTTGGCAAGGAGGTCTGTCATAGAGCACCTGCGTGATTGATCTCACTTCCTTGGTCTAAACGTAAATATAGTATTTCCTCATTTTCTTCCTTACAAGTAGATGCAATTTCTTGAAACTCGCTGTCTTTTTCTTTGATTAACTGAACTATCTTCTCATTTTCTCCATAAAGAGCAGCCATCAGAGGTGTCTGTCCCTTACTATCAACCTGGTTAATATCACTTCCTTTGTCTATAAGTAACTGTACTATCTTCTCATTTTGTCCAAAACAAGCTGCTATCAAAGGTGTTTGTCCAAAACCATCAGACTGGTTAACCTTTATTCCTTTGTCTATAAGTAACTGTACTATCTTTTCATTTCTTCCAACAAAACAAGCATTTATCAGAGGAGTGAATCCCTGACCATCAACCTGGTTGACCTCACTTTTTTTGCCTAGAAGAAACTGTACTAACTGCTCGTTTCCTATACAACAAGCAATTGTCAGAGGTGTACATCCGTTACCATCAAACTGATTCACCTCACTTCCTTTGTATATCAGTAACTGTAATATATGTTCATTTCCTATTTCACAAGCAGCTGTAAAAGGTGTCTGCCCAAAATCATCAACCTGGTTAACTTCACTTCCTTTATCTATAAGTAACTGTACTATCTTTTCATTTCCTCCTTTACAAGCAGCTGTTAGATGTGTATATCCTTTACCACCAAGCTTGTTAACCTCACTTCCATTGCGTATAAGAAACTGTACTAACTGCTCGTTTCCTAAACAACAAGCAATTGTCATAGGTGTATATCCGTTACCATCAAACTGATTCACCTCACTTCCTTTGTCTATCAGTAACTGTAATATATGTTCATTTCCTATTTCACAAGCAGCTGTCAAAGGTGTCTGCCCAAAATCATCAACCTGGTTAACATCACTTCCTTTATCCATAAGTAACTGCACTATCTTTTCATTTCCTCCTTTACAAGCAGCTGTCAGAGGTGTATGTCCTTTACCACCAAGCTTGTTAACCTCACTTCCATTGCGTATAAGAAACTGTACTAACTGCTCGTTTCCTAAACAACAAGCAATTGTCAGAGGTGTACATCCGTTACCATCAAACTGATTCACCTCACTTCCTTTGTCTATCAGTAACTGTAATATATGTTCATTTCCTATTTCACAAGCAGCTGTCAAAGGTGTGTGCCCAAAATCATCAACCTGGTTAACATCACTTACTTTATCCATAAGTAACTGTACTATCTTTTCATTTCCTCCTTTACAAGCAGCTGTTAGAGGCGTATGTCCTTTATCTCCAAGCTTGTTAACCTCACTTCCATTGCTTAAAAGAAACTGTACTAACTGTTCGTTTCCTAAACAACAAGCAATTGTCAGAGGTGTACATCCGTTACCATCAAACTGATTCACCTCACTTCCTTTGTATATCAGTAACTGTAATATATGTTCATTTCCTATTTCACAAGCAGCTGTCAAAGGTGTCTGCCCAAAATCATCAATCTTGTTAACTTCACTTCCTTTATCCATAAGTAACTGTACTATCTTTTCATTTCCTCCTTTACAAGCAGCTGTCAGAGGTGTATGTCCTTTACCACCAAGCTTGTTAACCTCACTTCCATTGCGTATAAGAAACTGTACTAACTGCTCGTTTGCTAAACAACAAGCAATTGTCAGAGGTGTACATCCGTTACCATCAAACTGATTCACCTCACTTCCTTTGTCTATCAGTAACTGTAATATATGTTCATTTCCTATTTCACAAGCAGCTGTCAAAGGAGTCTGCCCAAAATCATCAACCTGGTTAACATCACTTCCTTTATCCATAAGTAACTGTACTATCTTTTCATTTCCTCCTTTACAAGCAGCTGTCAGAGGTGTATGTCCTTTGCCACCAAGCTTGTTAACCTCACTTCCATTGCGTATAAGAAACTGTATTAACTGCTCGTTTCCTAAACAACAAGCAATTGTCAGAGGTGTACATCCGTTACCATCAAACTGATTCACCTCACTTCCTTTGTCTATCAGTAACTGTAATATATGTTCATTTCCTATTTCACAAGCAGCTGTCAAAGGTGTCTGCCCGAAATCATCAACCTTGTTAACTTCACTTCCTTTATCCATAAGTAACTGTACTATCTTTTTATTTCCTCCTTTACAAGCAGCTGTTAGAGGCGTATGTCCTTTACCTCCAAGCTTGTTAACCTCACTTCCATTGCTTAAAAGAAACTGTACTAACTGTTCGTTTCCTAAACAACAAGCAATTGCCAGAGGTGTACATCCGTTACCATCAAACCGATTCACCTCACTTCCTTTGTATATCAGTAACTGTAATATATGTTCATTTCCTATTTCACAAGCAGCTGTCAAAGGTGTCTGCCCAAAATCATCAATCTTGTTAACTTCACTTCCTTTATCCATAAGTAACTGTACTATCTTTGTATTTCCTCCTTTACAAGCAGCTGTTAGAGATGTATGTCCTCTACCTCCAAGCTTGTTAACCTCACTTCCATTGCGTATAAGAAACTGTACTAACTGCTCGTTTCCTAAACAACAAGCAATTGTCAGAGGTGTACATCCGTTACCATCAAACTGATTCACCTTACTTCCTTTGTCTATCAGTAACTGTAATATATGTTCATTTCCTATTTCACAAGCAGCTGTCAAAGGTGTCTGCTTAAAATCATCAACCTGGTTAACTTCACTTCCTTTATCCATAAGTAATTGTACTATCTTCTCATTTCCACCTTTACATGCAGCTGTCAGAGGTGTATGTCCTTTATACCCAAGCTTGTTAACCTCACTTCCATTGCGTATAAGAAACTCTACTAACTGCTCGTTTCCTAAACAACAAGCAATTGTCAGAGGTGTATATCCGTTACAATTAACCTGATTCACCTCACTTCCTTTATCTTTCAGAAACTGTACTATCTGTTCATTTCCTATTTCACAAGCAGCTATCAGAGGTGTCTGCCCTAAACCATCAACCTGGTTAACATCAATTCTTTGTTCTAAAAGTAACTGGACTATGCTTTCATTTCCTATTTCACAAGCAGCTGTCAAAGGTGTCTGCCCTAAACCATCAACCTGGTTAACCTCACTTCCTTTATCCATAAGTAACTGTACTATCTTCTCATTTCCTCCTTTACAAGCAGCGGTCAGAGGTGTATGTCCTTTACCACCAAGCTTGTTAATCTCACTTCCATTACGTATAAGAAACTGTACTAACTGTTCGTTTCCTAAACAACAAGCAGATGTCAGAGGTGTATGCCCTTTAGAATCAACCTGGTTAACATCACTTCCTTTGTCTATTAGTAACTGTATTGTCTTTTTATTTCCTTCTTCACAAGCAGCTGTCAGGGGTGTCTGCTTCATACCATCAACCTGGTTAACATCACTTCCTTTGTCTATTAGTAACTGCACTATCTTTTCATTTCCTTCTTTACAAGCAGCTGTCAGAGGTGGATGCCCTTTACCACCAACCTTGTTAACCTCACTTCCATTGCGTATAAGAAACTGTACTAACTGCTCGTTTCCTATACAACAAGCAATTGTCAGAGGTGTATATCCGTTACCATCAACCTGATTCACCTCACTTCCTTTGCCTATCAGTAACTGTACTATTTTCTCATTTCCTCCATTACAGGCAGCTGCCAAAGGTGGATGCCCTTTACCATCAAACTGGTTAACATCACTTGAATGGCGTATAAGTAATTGTACTATCTTCTCGTTTCCTACCTCACAAGCAATGGTTAGAGGTGTATGCCCTATACCATCAACCTGGTTAACATCACTTCTTTTTTCTATAAGTAACTGGACTATCCTATCATTTCCTACTTCACAAGCAGCTGTCAGAGGTGTCTGCGCTTTACCACCAACCAGATTAACCCTACTTCCTTTCAGTATAAGTAACTTTACTACTTTCTCACAGCCTCCTTTGCAAGCAATTGTCAGTGGTGTGTGCCCTTTACAATCAATTTTGTTTACATTACTACCCTCATCTATAAGAAGCTGTACTATATTTTCATTTCTCCCAAAACAAGCAGCCATTAGAGGTGCCTTTTCCAAACCAGGAAACTGGTCAACTTCACTACCTTTATCAATGAGTAACTGGTCTATCTTCTCATTCCGTCCATAACAGGCAGCCATCAGAGGTGTCTGTCCTTTTCCATCAACCTGATTCACATCACTTCCTCTGTCTATAAGTAATTGTACTATATTTTCATTCCCTCCATAGCAAGCAGCTGTCAGAGGTGTTTGCCCAAAACTATCAGCCTCATTAACTTTACTTCCTTTGTCTATAAAAAATTGTACAACCTTCTCATTTCTTCCATAACAAGCAGCTATCAGAGGTGTCTGTCCAAAACAATCAACCTGGCCATATTCACAACCTTTGTCTATAAGTAACTGTACTATCTGCTCGTTGCCTATCCCACAAGAAGCTGTCAGAGGTGTCTGTCCCAAAAAATCAACCTTGTTAATCTCACTTCCTTTATCTATAAGAAACTGTATTATTTTCACATTTACGCCATAACAAGCAGCTATCAGAGGTGTCTGTCCCTTACGATCGATCTGGTTAACATCACTTCCCTTTTCTATAAGTATATCTACTATCTTCTCATTGCCTCCAAAACTAGCAGCGATCAGAGGTGTCTGTCCATTTTTATCAATCTTGTTAACACCACTTCCTTTGTCTATTAGTAGCTGTACTATTTTCTCATTTCTACTGACACAAGCAGCCATCAGAGGTGTTTGTCCATTTTTATCAGCCTGATTCACATCACTTCCATTGTATATAAGTAGCTGTACTATTTTCTCATTTCTTTCCAAACAAGCAGCAATCAGAGGTGTTTGGCCCAAACCATTCACCATGTTAACCTCACTTCCTTCATCTATGAGTAACTGTATTATTTTCTCATTACTTCCAAAACAAGCAGCTGTCAGAGGTGTCTGTCCCAAACGATCAACCTGGTTAATCTCACTTCCTCTGTTTATAAGTAACTGTACCGTCATCTCATTTCTTCCAAAACAAGCAGTTGTCAGAGGTGTCTGCCCAAAACCAGAAACCTGGTTAAAATCACTTCCTTTGTCTAAAAGTATCTGTACTATCTTATCATTACCTCCATAACAAGCAGCTGTCAGAGGTGTCTGTTCTTTACCATCAACCTGGTTTATCTCACTCACCTTGTCTATTAGTAGCTTTACAATATTTTCATTTCCTTTATAACAAGCAGTTATCAGTGGTGAATGTCCCGAATCGTCAACCTCGTTAATCTCACTTCCATTGTCTATAAGTAACTGGACTATCTTCTCATTTTGTGCGTTACAAGCAGCTATCAGAGGTATATTTCCAACACGATCAACTCGGTTTACCTCACTTCCTTTGTCTATAAGTATATGTACTATCTTCTCGTTGCCTACATCACAAGCAGCTGTCAGAGGAGTCTGTCCCAAAGCATCAACCTGATTAACCTCACTTCCTTTGTCTATAAGTAACTGTACTATCCTCCTTTTTTCTCCAAAACAAGCAGCTATCAGAGGTGTCTGTCCCATACGATCAAATTTATTAATCTCACTACCTTTGTCTAAAAGTAAATGTACTATCTTCTCATATCCTAACTCACAAGCAGTTATCAGTGGTGTTTGTTCCATATGATCAACCTGGTTAACTTCACCATCTTTTTCTAAAATCAAATGTACCATCTTCTCATTTCCTGACTTACAAGCAGATATAAGAGGTGTCTGTCCATTACCATCAGCTAGGTTCACATCACTTCCTTTGTCTATAAGTAACCGTACTATATTCTCATTTTCACCACGACAAGCAGCTGTCAGAGGGGTATCCTCTAAATGAATAACCTTGTTAACCTCACTTCCATTGTCTATAAGTAACTGAACTATCGTCGAATTTCCACTCTTACAAGCAGCTGTCAGTGGGGTGTGCCCAATATGACCAACAAGGTTAATATCGCTACCTTTGCTTATAAGTAACTTTACTATCTTCTCATTTCCTCTCATACAAGCAGTTGTTAGAGATGTTTGCCCTAACATACCAATCTGGTTTATATCACTTCCTTTGTCTATTAGTAACTGTACAATCTTTACATTTCTACTATTACTTGCAGCTATAAGGGGTGTCTGTCCCCTTTGATCAACCTGGTTTACATCGCTCCCTTTCTCTATAAGTAACTGTGCTATCTTCTCATTCCCTACGTCACACGCAGCCGTCAAAGGTGTTTGTCCAAAAAGATCAACCAGGTTAACCTCATTCTCGGTGCCTATAAGTAAATGTACTATCTTTTCATTCCCACCCTTACAAGCAGCTGTCAGAAGTGTCTGTCTATTACCACCAGCCTGGGTTACATCACCTCCGTTTTGTATAAGTAACTGTACTATCTTCTCATGTCCTTCTTTACAAGCAACTGTCAGAGGACTCTGCCCCTTTATATTGTCATGGTTAACATGACTTCCTTTGTCTATAAGTAACTGTACTAGTTGCTCATGTCCTCCTTTACAAGCAGCAGTCAGAGGTGTCTTTCCCATACCATCAATCTGGTTTATATTACTTCCTTTGTCTATAAGTAATTTTGCTATCTGCTCATTTCCTCCGGCACAAGCAGCTGTCAGAGGTGAGTACAGCGACTCACAATTCTTAATATCAACATTTTTGGAAATAAAGTATTGAAATATTTCGTAATATCCCCACAAGCATGATTTTATAAAAGGTCCTTCCGTCAAATGATCATCACCATTATCATCATCATCATCATCATTATCATCATCATCATCATCATCATCATCATCATCATCATCATCATCTGAACAATTTCCAGATTCCATTGTTTCAAGTAATTTTGCAATTCGATGGTTTAAGCGATTGGTTTTTCTTTGGTTTATTTGTGCAATAAGTAACTTGTCGTCAATAGACTTTAACATTTTGAGGAAGGAAGTTCTATAATCTGCATACTTCATTTGTGTATTATAAAAACATTGATTTAATTTTCCAAGTTGTATCTCGCTTTTTATTCTCGTGAAATATTCCTTTTCATACTTCTTTGATATCATAATAGTAAATTTGCCATGATGTTCATTTAAGGATTCAAGCTGTGTCCGTTGATTGAAAACTCTGATATCTGAATAACGCAATATACATCTGACCATTGTATCCTTGTTACCGAAATAACAACACATAAAATCAAACATTTGATCATGAATGACCCTATATTCAATTCTTTTTTTCCAAACATAAGTTCCTATTATGCTGTCCAAAACTGTCTTAATTTTACATCTAGATGTACCACGGTTGATTTCGCAGATTTCAAAAATGTGTTCCAAGGCCGTTTGTTTTATGCTATTATTTTCATTATATATATCAAAAAACGATTCCTTCATGATGCCATTATAAATTACACATAAGAATAGTGAACAATATTTGTATGGATCAAATTCTTTTAACTTGTCCCATTCCTTTTTGTACGTTTCGAAAGGACATTCTAAAAAATCAGTCAGATTAAAAGTTTCGTTTTTTGAATAAAGATAACACATCAGTGGTGTAAAATCTACCTTTTGATCTTTTAACAGCTGTATATTAGTTTCAGATAAATACTTTTTACAGATCGCTAATTTGTCCTCTCTTGCATATTTTACAGACAAGTTAAAAATATTCGATTTGAAAACAGTACACGATACTTGAACTTTTTTATCACTGAAAATATCCAATCGACATGCTGCTGCTATTTTTGTCTTCTTCTTTTCCAGAATTCGTTTAAACAAGTCTTCATTTTTTATCCAATGCTCAATATCAGGCAAACTGACTGTGAATCGTCCATAAATGTCATCTATAACAAACATCTGTCTTTTGTCTTCTTTGTAATGTTGTAGTATATCCTTTATACCAGTACATGGAATTATATTATAATCAAGCTTCTTTTGTAGTTTCAAAGAAACTTGATGCAACAACATGCTCTTACCGATACCTGGTTCTCCTACTATTAAGACACTATTTTCTGATTGAAGGATCTGTGAAATCACGTTAACTACAGGTGTATCAACAAAAAGGTCTTCTTGTTCTTTCCAAAACATAATTTCAACATTCTGGGAATCTGAAAACATCAAAACAACATTTTTACAAATATGTAAAGTATATTTTTGTCGCGTTAATAAAACTAAAGATTTAAACATATCTACATATTTTACAAATTTGATTACCGTCTCAAAATATGTTTTGAATCAAGAGCAGGCGATGGTACAAAATGTATCATGTACGCCTCATTTTGAAGCCTGTAAAAATGCAATTTTGGGCATCAGAGTAAAATACCCTTGTGTTTTAAAAACAATTAGGAAATTAGAAAAAAAGATATGAATAAGATTCAACAAATCAAAAGAAAAATGACAAAACTTTCATTTGAATACAAAGAAATTATTCTTAATTATCAATGGATATCAGCATAAACATACGAATGTTTGTATCCATTTGTATTTATACTGGTTACATTCCCAAGATATCTTTCTATCGTATTTGGGACCCTGTACGTTACCAAAACGAAATATATCTGAATATGATATACATCCCCAACGAGGCGTGGTATGTAATACAGCTATCAAACCAATAAGTCCGTTTTCAAAACTAATGTACATGCAGTTATCAAATGTAAAGTCGGAAAATATTTTTAATGTAAATTTTCTCTTTTGAAATGCTTTATACATTTGTCACATACGTTAATAAAATAAATTTCCTTGTTTCTCCATTTCCTACATTACATGTCTTTAATCTTAGTTAAGTATCTTACCGAATAGTGTATCATGATTTTCCTCTTTAGCCAACAACCTCTAAAAAAGAACAGTGATATACATGTAAGATGTGTTTCTATATATCTGTTATTTCTACAATCAATGATTAAACTAATTACCCTAACGAGCCTGTGTCACTCACCACGATCTTGTATTCACTTTTGTCAAATTGTTTTATCACTAAAAATGTTGTCAAAATTCAAGAGTCGGTTTCACACAACACACAAGAATTTACGATTAAAATCAATCGTAAGTACACTGAATTGTTCATGACTTACGATCAATCTTAGTCGTAAGTTTTTTTTTTTTTTTTTGTGAACTGACTCCTGTACTTGCAACCTTAGGAGTTACTTTTTAGCAATCAGTCATTCCTTATAATTTAATTCTAAATTTCATTTTAAACCGGCGTAAATCATGGAAAAACGTTAATGACGTCACAGTCACATGACAAAATTATGTTAATGAGATGATAAACAAAACACTGTCAGCCAATCAGAAGACACGTTTCGTCTAAAATTAAATTATTTAAGGAATGACTGTAATATTTTTTCTGTCTATGAAGAAATAACATCAAAAATGTGGTGCACGCTGAATAACCCGTATCCGGTTATTTTAAAGTGTGCACAACTTTTTTGTTGTTATTTCGAATAGACAGCAAAAATATTACAGTTTTTTTCTTATAATTTAATTCTAAATTCCATTTTAAACCGCAGAAAATCCTGAAAAAAAACGTTGATGACGTCATGGTCACATGACAAAATTATGTCTATGAACTGATTAACAAAACACTGTCAGCCAATTAGAAGACGCGTTACATCCAAAATCAAATTATGAAGAAATAACATCAAAAATGTGGTGTACACTGAATAACCCGCGTATATTGTGATATCATACCTGATGAGTTCTAAAAGAGGAACAAAAGACACGAGAGGGACATTCAAACTCATAGATAAAAAATAAACTGACAACGCCATGGCAAAAAAAGGAGAAAGACAAACAATAGTACACAAAACTCAACCTAGAAAAATAAAGATTAAGCAACACGAACCCCACCAAAAATTAAAGGTGCTCCGAAAGGAAGGGTAAGCAGATCCTGCTTGACATGTGGCACCTGTCGTGTTTCTCGTTTTATTACAAACCCTGTAAATAGTTTAATTCGGTAGGTCACATTCGTGAAAAGGGAACGGGATTGTAGTTACGACATAAGGATATCCGATATTATCTGTGTAACGGATATTCTATAACGGTCAACCGACTCGTGATGGCGGCCGTAAAATTTACGAAGGGATGATTTCAACTTCACCATTTGGAACTCGAGCTTTAATGCTTCCTTGTGAGCAGTAACCCTCTATCATGGAATCATGTTAAGAAATACAAGACCGGGAATATTGTATCAATTCGGAGAAATATACTCCGTATGCAGGCGCTGCTGGAAAGTTGCTACATAGAAATAGAAAGTTCACGATTGGGAAGCTGAAACCATCTCTTTTGTCGTAAGGTTTTGTTTTCGACCGACCTCTAGATGTGATTAAAGATATAAGGCAGACTTAACTGTATCTCTTGTATTCTTTATCCCTAGTTCGATCGGATAGATGCGTTCAACACAGTCACCTAATTTTGTATTATTTAGTGAGAGGACATCATCTTTATAGCGGAAAGTAAAGTTAAAGGATATTGCTATTTTTTTTTTCTTCCTGAGAAGTTCATGTATGAAGTAAGTTAGCCTCATTAGAATAAAGAAACAAGTCGACAAGAATAGTGGCACAGTTTGTTTTCCATGAGAATGCCGGAGTTTGTTATCCATGAGAATGCCGGTAGTTTGTTGAGAAACACGCCCGCCAAACGTAACAAATATGTTGTCAATCAAGAAATCTAACATCTTCTTAATAGTATCAGTTTCAGAAAATGTTTTGTTTGAATCAGAGGGATTTTATAACAAAGAAAGATGTATCCATCTCTAAGACAAGATACTTGTATTTACATTGACCATTCTTTTTATGAAACAAAATCATACCAACACTTTCAATTTGTCTTTAGGTTTGGAATTGGGAATACTTGTTTTAAGTGTAGAAAAGTAATACTTTAGCAAGATGAAAGAGGCTTAGATTGTATGTACTCTTAAAGAGCTTTGTAATTTTTAGTATTCACATCTGATTCACACCACCTCTAGAACAGACAGTTTCACAATAAAATGAAGCCCGGCTTTGATTGCTGATAAAATTGGTTATAATAATTAAGAAAGAGGTTTCGTGGAACACTTGGAAGGACCTCGCAATATACCGTTGTTTGTAAGGACACTTACGTATATAGTTAAGGTATCCAATACAGTAATAGAAAATCTAGTTCTTCATTTTTGGTTGAAATTCCAAAGAAACATAGAGCAGACCTATGATTATCCAGAACTTACTCTTTAGTAATTGTCGTGGGGGTATATGTTGAATTTCTAAGTGAGTTGTCAATACCTAATTCAATTATCAGGCAGTTCATGTAATGTAATTTAAACACAAATACGATGTTGTTTGGGGATTTATCTGCGGCGACAACAACATATTTGTCATGGAGGTAGGACAAGAAGAATGTTATTTACGATTGCTAAAAATTATCTAAAAAATCTGATAATCAAGAATTGCAAATGTCGGTGTAAATTTTTCGAAAGAATTAACAAATATGGAAGGGACACATTTTAAAGATGCGACGAAATATAAAATTCATGATATTTTTTGAAGAATAACCCATCCCGATGTACAATTATAGTTATATCCAAAGACGGTAAATAATTTCAATCCAATTCAATAAAATGAAAAATTAGACTCTCTCTTGTTCAGTACAATAACCATCTGTATTTATTTGTTTCTTCAACTTTATAAAAAAAAACTCAAATAACTTATATGAATGGACTTAAAATGACTATTTGCAAAAAGGAGTGTAATTCTTTTCATAATAAGAAGAAATATTGTCATTTTTAAAAACAATGCGAACAAAATTTTAGTATTTTTGCTCTTATTTGAAAAACAAACCATTCCTGGTGTACAAAATGATTAATCCACAAAACTGGTCCCATCAAGATCCTCCTTTGATATTGCTGTTGATGAATAAGGCCAGAGAAACTAATACACGTTTGGGAGAAAGTTTAATATTGTCTTAACATATCAATCATCTTAATAACGTAACCGCCATCGGTACATTATTTGGTGTAGGGCAGTTACAAAGATTTTCCATTTTGTCGTTCGTTGGCAGTTTTCTGTAGTATGCCACATGTCCGTTGATGTTTACTAACCTCTGCTCCTACAGTTCTCCTCAACTTCATTTTGGGCTTTCCTCTTCTTCTTTTACCTTTTGGGTTTCAGTTGAGTGCTGTCGTAGTGATATCTTCCTGGTCTTTCCGTAGGTAATGTCCAATCTACATCCAGCTTGTTGGCATCTGGTAAGAAGGTTCTGGTTTGAAATTTCCTGTGGCAAAACGATTCGCAGAACCCTTTTGGGGCTTATGGTACGGAATAGAGACAGCTTGTTTTGTGTGGTCTGTCATCTTTCAACATACTGAACGATACAAAAGTACTGTCAAGACACAGCTGCTGTAAAGTTGAAGTTTGATTCGAATTGTATATTGCCCAGATCTCCATACAGCCTGCAGGGTGTTAAGAGCTGACCTTGCCTTAGATACTCGCCTTTTGATGTCAGATTGTGTTCAAGCATTTGAAGTATCTGTGGTGTCAATGTATGTGAAGGTGTCACATTATGAAGATGTGTTTCTATCCAGTAAAACTGACCTTGGTTTGTTTACATGAGCGTCATGATTTCATTTTCTTAATGTTGATTTTAAGCCCAATAAGTCCTGTTTTGTTTTTTTTTTTAACATTATTCGGTCTATGACTACGATGAAAAGTGTCGATGACATGAAACATCCTTGTCTTAATCCTTTTTTTACTAGGAAGTATATATCACTGTACCAAAATTTGGAATGTTTTTATGAGTTTTATTAGAATTTTTCGAAAGCCATATGATCGTACTATTTTTCAAAAACTATTCCTGTGGGTGCTGTCAAATGCTTTTTTGAAGTCGCCAAACTTTATATACAGCTGCTGTTGCCATTCTTTCCATTGTTCTATAATATTTCTTAATGTAAATATCTGGTAGACGTAACCTCTCATCGGGCGAAAACCTTCAAGTTCATTTCGCTGGAGGTCATCAATGGAGATGCAATACTTCTGATAATAGTGTTTGCCATCATCTTTCTTGGGATGGAAAGTAGTGTAATGCCGCGCCAGTTGTTACAATAATTAAGTTATTTTTGGTATTTGGATTATAGTGCCATTATTCCAATTGTATGTTATCTGAGCCTTTCCAGATGTATATAAAGATATCATGAAGCAGGATGGCAGATAAGCCTGGGTCAATTTCAAACAGTTCGGCGTTGAGAAAGTCATTTCCAGGTAATTCCATTTTTTAAACTTTTGATTGCAGATAGTATCTCCTGCATTTCAACATATGTTGATTTCACGTTCATTTTTATTTTCTGCTATAAATGGGAGTTCTGTGGGGGTTGGTTTTTTTAAGTAGCTCGCTGATATGTTCTCTCTATGTTTGTTCTTGTTCATTTTCCGATGTTTACAAATTCCCTTGCTTGTCCTTTACAGAGATGTTGTGATGCTTTGTTTTTGCCCAAAATAGTTTTGGTGATATTAGAGATTGTTCTGTTCACCTTTGCTAGCCGCTTTTTTCTGCCTTTTCAGCAAGACAACCCATGTATGTTAGCTTGTCATTACGTACCATTCTATTGAAATTTTTGTGTATTTGGCTGTATTCATGTTGGCATCTTTCCTATTGACGTTGTGATTTTGCCTCATTCAACTCTTCTTTGTATTTCTTCTAATAATAGTGTTCCATGTTCTAGGTGTGATCTGATCTTTATGTTTCTGCTTTTGTTTAAATCCAATATTTTCTTCTGCACTTTTAGCGAATAGTTCAGGGATTTTCCCCCATTTATCATCAATTATATGTGTCTTCTTCATCATGTATGTTTTCTTAAAGTCGATATC